AGGGAGGAATGGAAGAAATGAAGGAAGAAAGAAAATCAACCAAAGGGGGAAATCTCTCAGATAGTGATAGCGTAGCTGTTGTGACACTGCAGCAGGCTGGGTTATGGTGATGCTGGTGTGAGCAAACCTACTACTTCACTACCAAGTGTATAAAAGTACAGCCTGCACAGTTATGCACAGTCCACAAACAGAATGATCAGACATGACCTCGGTGGGCAGGCCTCCCCAGCAATTCAGAAGAGCCTCTAATAAAGTCTCCCCTGACTTTCCCGCAGACCTCAATTTCCACCTGGTTTATTCCAGCAGGAGATCATCAGCCTGTATTCTGTTCTTTCATCTCTTGGTGCCAGAGAAGCTTCATGTCAGAGGCAGGTGATGATGGCTGAGGGGACTCACTGAACCTCTGCTGCAGCTGAGGAGCAAACAGCCTCCTGCTCTTTCTCACCTCATCTTACACACAGCAGTGACGTGACAAAACTGAAAGTGAGGTTTAAAAGTATCCCAAAGGACCAACAACGACTGACCACTTGCCTGACCCTGAGGGAGGTCCTGGGGATGTTCTGGTGCATATGACACCCTCCCTGTCCTTGAGGGCCCCCCGGGTAGGAGGGGGAGGCAGAAAGAGCAACAGACACATACGCGACAGTGTTTCAGTCAACTACAGACCACATATACGACATTGGTCTCATAAGATTATAAAGGAAATGAAAAATCCCCATTGCCTAGTGACAGCATAGCTGTTGTGACATGGTATCACACTCGTGTTTGTGGTGACCCTCGTGTAAACAAACCTACCATGCTCTCAGGTGTATGAAAGTATAACACATACAATTATATTCAGCACACAATAGTTGATAATGATAATAAGCAATGATGTTACTGGTTTATGTATTTACCATACTATATTTTTGTCATTATGTTAGAGCAGGGGTCCGCAAACTTTTTAAACAGGAAGCCAGTTCACTGTCCCTCAGACTGTTGGAGGGCCAGCTTGTGGGCTCCGGGACGAGTCGGCTGCTAAGCAGGACAGGCAGCAGCGGCAAAAACACCTGGCGGGCCAGATAAATGTCCTCAGTGGGCTGCCTGGGGCTGGCAGGCCATAGTTTGAGGACCCCTCTTTTAGAGTTTACTCCTTATACTCACGAAAAAAAAAAACTGTAAAACACCCTCAAGCAGGTCTTCAGGAGGTATTCCTAAAAAAGACACTGTGATCATAGATGATGTCGGCTCCATGCATGAACATCCGTGCATTGTCTTAAAGACTTTCTGGTGTGGACAAGACGCGAGGATGGAAGATGGTGATGGGGATAATCCTGATTCTGGGTAGGCCTAGCCTACTGTGCCTTTGTGTCTTAGCTTTTAACAAAAAAGTTTTAAAAGTAAAAAAATTAAAATATACTAAAAACAGGGAAAAGCTTATAGAATGAGGAAATAAAACATTTGCACAGTGTTTAAGCTAGTACAAAGGAATCAAAAGTTTTAATAATTAAGTTTATAAAGTAAAAATGTTATAGTAAACTAAAATTATTATTGAAGAAAAAAGATGGTTTTGCTAATTTAGCATAGCCTAGCGTACAGTGTTTCTGAAATGTACAGTAGCCAGAAATAATGCCCGAGGCCAGTGGTTCTCAACTTTCTTAATGCTGCGATGCATTTTCATTGTTACAAAGGGGTTGCGACCCACAAGTTGAGAACCACTGCCCTGGGCCTTCACGATCACTCACCACTCACTAGCCCACCAGAGCAACTTCTAGTCCTACAAGCTCTGTTCAGGGTAAGTGCCCTAGACAGGTGTATCATTTTTTATCTTCTATATAACACTTTAACTGGGTCTTTTCTATGTTTAGATATGCTTAGATACACAGATATTTACCACTGTGTTACAACTGCCTACAGTATTCAGTACAGCAACCCGCTGTACAGGTCTGCAGCCTAGGACCAAGGAGCTATAGCACACAGCTTCTGTGTGTAGTAGGCTACACACCTACGTCTGTGTAAGTACACTCTGTGATGCTCACACCACAACAAAATTGTCTCAGGATGCATTTCTCAGACTTTATCACCATCCGTAAGCAATGCATGACTGTAATTATTATTCGGTGAGTTAAAAGATATAAGCTAAACTATGCATCCCGGGCCTGCACAGAGGCCAACAGCCATCCCAGCATAGAGGACTGCAGAGACCACATCCTGGATGCAGTGAAGTGTGACATAATACCATCATCAGGTGGTTTCACTTTCAATTTACAGTTGTTTTAGGGTGGAGATCTTTATCCAGGAGCATTCGCGGCCGATGATAGGGTGGATGGAGATGGACTGTTTGGCTTGCCAAGCTTGCTTTCATTTCCAAGAATAAGCCCTTCCTCCTTAGAGAATGGCAATGGCTCTTTCTCCCCATTCCAGGCATGTGGTGTTGGCTAATGCCCATCCCTCTCTGTCCTTGTCTACATAGATTAGCCCAGAGTGAGCCCATCCAACTTCTTTGCTGAAACTTTCTAAGTTGGGCCTAAGAGAGAGGGACATTCTTTCTGTGGTGATAAGGTCATAAAATAGAATTCTGAAAGACTATTCTTCCCTTATATGGAAGAAGCTGGTCTGCATTGGAACAGAGTATGGCTGACAATACAGAGAAACAGTGAGGACAGCTGGAGAGAGGAAGTCTTGTTGGTCTTCAAGGCTCTGATCCCACCTGCCTGGGAGACCCAGCTGCACCACTCTACTTCTGTTGCATATGGAAGAGCACAGCATCTTTCCAATAAAGTCCTCTTTTTGCTGAAACTAGTTCTAGTTTGGTGCTCATCTCTTGCAATCAAGAGTTCTGAGCAGCAATTTAGTAGTGATGTCTTAACATTTTCATCCTTGTCTTGAAGTCCCATCATCCTCCCTGTTTCCAAGAAGGATCAGCCTAAACTCAATGTTACCAATTTCTTCTTGTTTCACCTCTGTCTATTTATAGAATACTTGGAAAACTTGGCCAATGCGCCTTGCTTCCCCATTAGCTGTGCTTCTGGCTGCTCCCTATCAAAGTTTCCCCAAAACTAGCTCACCATAAAATGCTGTCAACCAAGAGCCACAGCCAGAGAATCCAGCTGAGTGTGTCAAGTGTTGAGTTGAGAATATATTTTTTAAGCACAGGCTGGCTGATTCCAACACACAACCAGATGGGGGCACCACCAGGCTGCACGACCCTTAAAGCCCATTAACTTGAAGAGAGTACAAGGTTGAACAATTAAGTTCATGAACTCGTCCTAGAAAAAGTGCTACACACCTCACTGCTGAATGTCACTACAGTCCCCTTTGAAGTACTTACTCCCCTTGGCCATCTGGTGACTGCAGTGATATTCAGGAGTGAGGTGTGTAGCACTTTTTTAAGAATGATACTGTGAACTTAATTGTCATAATACCTTGTGTGAACTTCCTGCTCAGGAAGGAGTGTGAATTAACTATTCAGTCTAAGTTTTGATTACTGCTCAGTCTGCTTGCCTCAAAGAAAGAATTATTAGAGGCTTGGGAGCAAGTCATAGCAGTTCCAAGCTGATCCCAGGCCTAGCCTCAAGGGGCTTGAGATGACTTCATCTTCTGGGAGGGGTGCAGGGCAGGCCAGGCCCCTCCATTAGATCCCTTTGATTTCCTTCGTGCTGGAGATAGATGACATGGAGACAATTTGTTGTTGTGGCTGTTGTTTTAAGTCTACAATTGCATCACAGGCCTATGTAACTTTCCTTGAAAGGTATCATTCCAAAGCAGCTCTTCCCCAGAGTCAGGCACAGTTTTCAAGGGGCAGCAGCATTGTTTTAGAACCTTCAAGCAATGTCACCTTGGGAGCAATAAAATTGCTCTCTGGTTTTCATGAGGGATGGCAAACATGTTACAGTAGCCATTTGTTGAAAGTGGATGCCAGGTGGGCAGGATATTTGATTCGATGGGGATAAGGCAAGTGCAGCAAGCTCCCTCCTCCCTCCGGGCCGAGTTCTAGAGGGTTTTCAGAGCAGCTGAGCTGAACTCACCTGGTGAAGTCTCAAAGGCTCCTGGACTTGCACGTGTGCTCTGTCACATTTGGCAGGATACAGCAGGTGTTTCAAGAAGCTGTTTCCTCTGCCAAGAAAACAGTGTTTCCTCTGTTTTTGTTTTATTTTATGGTGTTTTATTTTTATTGTATTCTGTTTTACTTTTATTTCTACCAAACCTGTGGAAATTGGGGCTTAAGACTCAGTGAAGCCCAAAATGATTACAGTCAAAAGAACTTTTCCAATTGGTCAACAGCATCCCCCATTCTGACAAAGCGTTTCTTTTCTATTCTCTCTCTCTCTCTCTCTCTCACACACACACACACACACACACTTTTTTTCCTATTTCTCTTTGCTCTCCCTTGCCCCTCCCCTTCCTCTCAACACATTGAGTGAATGCCCTGAACGGTGACAAACTTGCACGTGCTTCCCTTATGACTAACCCCCTGGGCCTCCTGCCAGTCCCCTACAGATGGCCCCAAACTTCAGGCATCCCGTTCAGAGAGCCCCAAGTTTGCAGCCCTGGTCGCCGGTCAGGGTGGAGGAGGACGGCGGGGAGTGGCGGTGTCTTCGTCCTCTGGGAAGGCGAAGCAACTTCCAGGAGGAAACAGGCGTTTCCTTCCCACGCGCTGGAGGGAGCCCTGGGTCCCGGCCGCGGAACTCCACCCAGCCCCTCCCGCCCTCTGGGAAAAGCCAGTCGCCACACACAGGCACACTCAGGCCCGGCGCCGCGCCCTAAGGAGAGCGGCACCCACGGCCAATTGCCATGGCAACGCCACTGTTCCTTCCACTTCCCCACCCAGCCGACCCACCCCCTTCCTCCCTGCGCTGCAGCCAACCGGCTTGTGCGCGTCCCAGGAGCGTGCTATAAAACCTGCGCTGGTGGCGCCGGAGCGAGCGGCCAGCGCCAGACCTGGAGAGGCGAGCAGTGCCAATCTCCAGCGAAGAAAGGCTCGTTTT